CGCTAATCAAAGCCTGGCCCCCATGTACCTACCAGCGCCTTTTGATTCTGAGACAATTCAGCAGAAGAAGCAGCCTTTAGAGCACAGAATAACGCTACCAGCACAAGAGAGAACATATTAGCGGCACTGCGGTTTACTCTTAACAGCGTCGGTCGGTCTTTGTATTGATATTTATAGAACAGTATTCATTGAACCAGCTGGTTTGATCAGTTGCGCACAGCATAACACGATTTTTATTGCACAATTTGCTTTGTATGTTCACGTGATCAGGTGATGTACTCACAGACTGTGCGGTGTTTATTCTCCGGCACCTCTACGCGTTAACAAACACAGGTCTAAACAAGGGGTTTCTTAGCTTCATTCGAGTAAAGAACGTTAAAATAACAAATACATCACGTCGATGGTCGGCCTTTCAATACATTTCTAACAATGCTTACATATGTTCTTGCAGGAAATGTTCGTCACCACAAAGACCTCTGGGAACGGATTGATACTACATGTGGAAATTCGTTAGGAAAAGTAACAAGTCTAGTTCTTTTCAGTGATATATAAATACAAACATAAGCGCGAGCTCCTATACACCCTTTTAATAAGTCCCGAGGTATTGTGTCCTCCGCACTTGACGTCAAATTTATTCTTTTGAATTCCCTTTGTATTGCAAAAATTTCAAAAGAATAAATTTGACTATACCTCGGGACTTATTAAAAGGGTGTATATGCATCATTAATATTACCCCATTACTGTCCACATTATAATGTATTAATAGTCATCAATAGTCTTAATGGATTAAGAATCAAATAAAAAATTTAACGATCACGACTTTCCATACTCAGGTTCAGTGACCATGAACAAAGCATTGAACCGAGGAGTCAAGGTACAGTGAACATAAAAGAAAAGATCTGTGATCAGTGTTCCTTGACACCTCGGTTCTATGCTTTGTTCGTGGTCACTGAATCAGCGTATGGAAAGTCGTGAATTCTTTATTCTAGAACTCATTAATAATTCATGAGGTATTAGTCCAATGAGAATCGAACTATTGGGTCACATGATGGGCCTTTATATCCGATAAACTGCTGATGTTTTATTAATCCGTTCTATATCAGATATAAAGAACTGATCAAGTTCATCAGCGCTTTATCGCAACGCTTAAATGTCGCATCATAGACCTTTGCTAGGTTTTAAATCAGTTTGAATCMATGTGCCGACATGCACTATAGCTAGACTAGCCGTTCTTTCGTGTGGGATCAAAATTCTTTCAATTGTGGCACAATGCACATGCTCATTAGAAGTTCAATATGCATTATCACTGTTTTCGCATTTTTTAGTCTTTTAAGCTTTTTTCTAAAATGATAACAATTTCTAAATGTTGGAGTTCTAGAAGTCGTTTATAGAACTCGAGTATATAAACAGCACTTCAGAAAAAGCAAATATGAGAATAAAAGACAATGAAAATAGTTGGAAATCTCTCACGAGTTTTATCGAAATTTCTGCATAAATATAATTACACACAACAGCTCTGCACTGTTATCATAATAATAATAATAATAAATAATCATAATCTAATAGCTTATAGTAGCGCATTTTCATGACTAAATGATGCGATTGCACTTAAAATGCGCTTATCACCTTTCGGAAATCTGGGAACAAATCTATTATTACGAAAAAAGTTTTTTTTTGACGTCACACTTTAGAACTCTATATAGTACATGAAAAAGTGAAATTTCGTGATATTTGTGAAATTTATATTTATTGTTAGGGCCATGCATATTATCACATTGAACTGAGTTGACAATTATCAGCGTGACTGTATACTTCAAAGGCCTGCGGCACGGTTATAGAATGTAGCGATTTCATTTATTTTTTTCCAAGGTCGCAGTTTAGCAACTCCGAGGGACACACAGGTTCCCATGTCAATTCGACCCTCGAGCACGTTTGAAATATTCTTTCTATTTTCTTTCTTTTTTTTTGCCTGAAATATAGTTGCTCTAGTCATGTTAGTTTTCTATTGTAGCAATTTCTTTCACATCAATGTTTATACGAGCTATTTGTTAAAGTGCTTATAACCCCTAAAATGATACAAATTTGGATCGATTTTCGGGGGTCTAAGGGTTAAAATAAGGTGTTTTATAATGCGATYGGATAAAACGGGGCCGAGATATTTAATCTTGAAGATTGATATTAGGGCTTCCTGTGCCAAATAGGAAGTGTAAAAAATCCCTGGTACGAATAGTGTTTGGTGACGTCAAGAGAGGTTGCGAAGCATGCGCAATAGATTTATAATCCGGGACTCCTGTTTATCACCTTTAGATTTTCTGCTAGATGATCACTAGCTCATATGCTATAAAAGCAACATTCTATATTTCGAGATATCTTTTGCAACGGTCTTTCGCTGTTCGGTGGAGGGTTATAATCACGAGGGAACGAATGGTAGTAGTATTACTTTGGTTCGTATACCGTTTGAAGACGATCAACGAAGCGGAGCCAAAGAACGAGAGAACGCATGCAAAGATGGGTCAACTTTGCGGCTAGCCAAGTCTGTTTGGCCTCCATGTAAAAGCGATCGGGTTTGCAGTGTCCACTTTTTAGTATCAGACCTTGAGCGCCGATCGATACGTGATTTGAATCGACCTTATACGTTATTTACACGAAGTGTTTATATGTCCTGGACCCTGACAGAGTCAAAATAATTTACCAAAATCACGGGAGAATTTAAATCCAGTCAAATCAAAGATACTTTTATTACTGTATTTAGGTGCAGATAGTCTTCCTTTTGACCAAATTAAGTTGACAATTCAGAGCTTCTTTGCCGCATAGTATTCAATCGACTTTTATTAGTTTTCACGTCTCTGGACGAACTGCAGAATGTCACGGAAAACTATATGTCCGGGAGTCAAAATAATTCATTGAAATCACAGTAGAATGTAAATCCAGTCTAATTAAGGATATTTTACTATATTTAGGTGCAGATAGTCTACCTTTTGACCAAATTCAGTTGAAATTCAGTTGAAGCTGGCCGGTTCATCGCAATGAAGCCCAGCTATGCATGTCGCTCGCGCTTTTAACGAGATTTTCTGATTCGCTCTCTTCCTCCTCGTCAATTATCAATTATATCAGGTATATAAAATCAATTATACCAGGTATATAATCATACTCAGAGTCAGCTGAGTCGTAGCTGATTTCCGAATCGGATGTAGAGAAAGCCATGAAATAGGTCGACCCCTATGTTTACAAGACAAATGCCGTTACCGACTTCATTTCCGGTACTACCTCTCTTGTCGTCATTACCGGATATCGCCCCAGTCCTAAAATACACGGCCGACCTGGCTAAAAAATATTCTTTAAAAATCTATAAAATATTCAGGTTTTGAAGAAATCGAATTCTGACTACAGGAATGCATTCAAGACATCTTCAAGATTAGCCACAATTTTTGTCATTTTAGGGGTTATAAGCACTTTAAATTTTAGGAACAAGATGATACTCGAACAGCGGTGTCTAATTGAGGATCGCGGGTTCGACTTGTTTTTTTCTTTCTTTTTAACTCGGATACTAAATCATAAAATTGTACAAAATCAAAAGGATGCGCCCCCTCCCTTCCCATAATACCCTACTTTAATAACGCGAAACTTTCTCCCTTCTCCCCAAATTTATGCCCAATTATATAAGTCAGCACACGAGTGCACATGGATTTAAGACTTAATTCTCGCAACACAACACCAAAATTCATGAATACCTTAAAAGAACCGTATAAACTTGTACAACCGCCTGAAGGTTAATTATTGGTCTCCCTGTGGAATAATGCAACGTCCAATCAGCGTCGAGTATTTTGCCGCCTTTTTCTCTCATGAGTCGCGAGCGTCAGTTTCGTCATAGGCTACCCAACTATTGCTTGAGAGAAAGAAAAGAATGAATGCGCACGCTT